CCATTGAAAAAAAATATTTTCAAATAAGTCATTATATAATACGACATGTGACAATTAAACTAAAAATCTGACTGCTTTATTATGTCCATTGTGTCCTTTTTAAGGTTCATTGAAAGAGTCAATCTGATTTTTCAAGCTAACTTTTTAAATACATATTAACATTTTGTCCGTTTATAGAATTGAACCTCTAAAATTTGACCCTAACAAATATACCTTTGTTTTTTTAAAAAAAAAATCTCATAAACATGTCTTGAAAATATAGCAAAAAGGCCTAGTCTGCGATAATGCATAAGCATGAAAGCTTACAGCGTTCTAATATATCTACTAGCATTACGTAAAATAGTTAAACTGGGTTTGATTATATTGATATGGTTGATTAAAATATAATTCTGCATATCTAAGAATAAATGAATAATTTTATTTTATAATACCCTAAATAATTATTTATTTCATTATCGATATTAAACAAAATTTCTTTAGTGCGCTTCCTAGCGTGTTAAACGTTTAAAATACATTATTGATTTTATTATTATAAAACGTTTTATTTGTACTTTCATTCTTGCATTTTTACAATAGCTATTCTCAATTTAAATCTGATAATTTTTGTCATTATACGTAAATATGAAAATTTTCAAAGCAAGGAATATATAATAAAATCGTTCATGAAAACACTTTTGTTAGAGCACAAAAGGTTATTCTGTTTTTCTAAACACGCTCGATGACCTAATAAGGCAAAACATGCCTATTTTTCTATATAAGGCTACTTTTAAAAAAAGGTCGTGTTTAGTGACTTTTGATACCCTAAATTATAGCCTCCAGATGTATATTTATTTTCTACTTCAATCTATATGAGATCATATAGTAGAACAAATAGTCCATTTCCATCGATTTTTGGATTTAAGACCCTTAATATATAATTTATATAATTCTAATTTAATTAGGGATTAGGATGCAATCTATATTATAAAAATATCTTAAACTTTGGGGTTGCTATAATTATGTAGCCAACAAATTCACAACAGTTTTAGTACCGCTATTTATGTTTTAATTGCTGACCGTCTTTTACTTCGAGCATAAAACCCAATTATTAAATCATTTAAATAAATTTATTCATTAATTAGCAAAAGGACAGTTTAATCTACCAAAATTTTTATTAAACTCTTTGAACAAGGTCGTCAATAAATTTATCCTCAATTGCAAAGTACAACATTGCCATGAAACAAGCGCACATATTACTTTTATTCGTCTTTTTTTATTTTACAGTCCAAGTTAATTCCGTATGTTGTAGACGGAGGCCTGATTTTTTATGTTGTGGTAATGGTCGTTGCAATATTTTTTGTTGCAACTGTGATGATGGATGTGATTCAATATGTGAGCAAACTACATGCAATGCCAAGGAATGGTCACAATGTCTTGTAGCTGCTGTAACTTATGGAATTTCTTGCGTTACAAATGGAGCAGCATGTGTAACTTGTCTTGCATCTACAGGTGCTTCGTTTTGTAAAGAATGTTATTTTCAGTTTTATGATGAGTTATAATCTATAACACAATATTATATAGTTTCGGATTCTTCATGTATCTTAATACTTTGTTGCTTATTATTTTTAATTGTTCTATCTCTAGAGAAGTGTAATAATACGCATTTGTCTTAATGTTGACTCTGATTATTAGCAATAGTAATTGATAAATTTATGTTATAATTTAGTTATTTTAGGCTTTTAATAACATCGGAAAATTAAATAAGCGTAAATCTGCAAAAATATGTATTTTTGCAAAATTTTTAAAATTTAAAGTTTTATACAGAAATTGCATTTAATTTCTGCATTTATAGCTATTAGGTTTAAAGTATTGCACAGGTTTTTTTTTTGATTATTTATTGTTTAATTTCTTTGCAAATCTTTACAGAACTGCACTAAAAAAAGTTTTCCAATGAAATATTGTAAAATCAACTTTTCTGAATAACCTCAAAAAACGCCCAGGAGCATTGTTTTGTATGTCTCAATTAGGCTTAATTTGGATAAAAAATTGGATCTCTTGCAGTATAGGTTATACTGCAAGAGATCCGAAAATTTTAAAATTATATCCCTGGGCTATTTAACGGTTATACGGTATTTTAATGAATTAATTTTTTAATACCTAGCACAGAGGGGAACTTTAATTCTTGAACACATTAGCAAGTCATCTTTATATAGAGTTATATAAATATTTTATGCCTATTGTATTTAAAAATTTTACATAGCTTCTATTTTGATTGAGCTGGAGCAGAGAGGAAATGCAAGACCTTTCTATGCTCTATCGATGCCCGGCTACCGCCTCTGTAATTATTTAAATCGATTTTGAACAATCATATCCACTGTAAAAATTCAATCATTAAAAAATCAAAATAGACTAATAAACATTATAAAAAAAATGACGATTAGCGTGATAAGTAATATAAATAAAAATCGACGATTACAAAGCTAATTAATAATTATATGCCTGAGCAAAAGGCTGCAAGAAATGACGCTAAAAGAAAGAAATTGGTTTCTACAACACTCGAAGAACCGTAATGATGAGTCAATAAAGAAAATATAAATTCAAGTGGTGAACGTAATGTTTATTATAATTTCAACAAAATTATAAAATGTCGACTGAGAGACTATTTTTTTATTTATTTATTTATTTATTTATTTATTTATTTATTTAGAGGATCAAAATATTTTGTCGTTACCACTTGCATGCCAACTTTCTAATTACAATAAGGTCTTCTAAAGAAGTTTCACAATGCAGTTTCTGTGCTTAAATCCAACTTATACTCTATTTGTAAAGAGAATTCCTACTATAGCATTAGTACATAAAGCAGGGTTATGCACTAGATCTAGGTGCTATCAAGAAAAATTAACCCCAAAAAAGTTTTCAAATGAATGATTATGGATCCCGATCTTCTTTTCAACAGTACATTTTCTTATAATAAATTACAGAAGTTAAGAGAGCAAAGGTTACTTTATAAATTTGTGAATTACAAATGGAAGTTTATGATTGTTCACATGCATGCTACATTAAATAAACTTACAAAATATACTATTTAAATTAACACATCTTATTATTCATGTTTCCAAGTTTAAGTGTGTGTGAAACGGCGCCTTTTTACTAGTAGAAATTTGATTTTTCTTTAACTTTGAGCAAAGATATCTCCACAATCACTAGACCAAACTTGATAAAAATTTTTTTATCTGAATTCTATTAATTTAATGAATTTAAATAAAAAAAATTTATAAAATTTGATCTAGTAGTTGTGAAGATATTTTCAATAATTTTTACTTTGTTAAAAGTTTTATTTTCTTTAATTTTGAGCGAAAATATCTTTATAACTACTTGATTAAATTTGATAGATTTTTTTTATTTGAATTTTAAAGATTCATATAATTCAAATAAAAAAAATTATTAAATTTTGTCTGGCAGCTATTAAGATATTTTGATTTAAAGATTTGATTTTTCTTTTTAATACTAATACATGATTTGCATTATTCTGCGCTGTTTACAGTGTTTTGAAATTCTATTTTATTTCAATATGTGAAATAATAATTATATTCAGTTAATTTTTTATTTAATAAAATTTAATAATCGATTTTTTTTAATTTTTTTAAAACTTTAAGCAAGGATAATTTAACAATAACTTCATTAAATTTAATAAAATTTTTTTTAAATTAATTTTACAAATTTGTAAAATTAAGTCAAGATTTATTAAATTATTCTTGTGTAAAGTTGTAAAAAAAATATTTATTACGTATAAAAAATTTGCTTGATTTCTATTACCTCACCTCCATGTTGTGCCTCAGATGTCATTTTACCCCAAATGTCAATTGGCCAAAATAATCAGCCTAAACAAATTATTTAGGCAGGGCATTTCAGTCAAGCGAAATGTCAGAAAATTTTCAGGATAATGATTTAATTATGGAATCAGCAAGTTGCAGCACATATGAAAATAATAGGACTATCTAGAAAGATAGTTTTCGCTTCTAAGCTAATACTTATATCCTAAAAACACAACTGACATTCTTAATTATACCAAAAATTTTTATTATTTCACACTTTTAAGTGGTCTATATTTTTTCCTCTTACGCTAAAAATCTTAGAAGTATCTTATTTTTTAAAACTACGTATTACAGCTGTTTTCATAAATTCTGGGACAACTGATAAAAATCATTTCGGCCGAATTCGATAAGTTTTTGAATTCGGTGTTATCGGAATTTGATTTCGGCGAATTCAAAAACTTATCGAACTTATCGAATTCGGCTGATCAATTTTTATCAGTTGTCCCAGAATTTATGAAAACAGCTGTAATGAAATCAAGTTTAAATTTGATTGGCCTATAATCGGTTAATCGACCCGAACCGAATAAATTTCGGTTGACCGGTTACCCGATACATCCGAACGAGAATTATGTAATCGGTTGGCAGGATTGATATAGTACCGTAAAACGCCGTATAAGGTACCCCCCTTGATTTGTACCGGGTACGTTTCAAGGTCACGTATGCGGTATTTTGTAAGATACCCGGGTACGAATCAATAACTATAATTTTCTAGTTCTTAGATCGTTCGTTTGTTTAAATTGTCCCCTTTACGGGTTTCAAATATCAGACAAACGTCTTTTTTCATAATTAACTGTACCTATACCTTCTTCATAACGGGTTCTATGATTTTTGGAAAAGGCGGGTTTGTAGCTGTGTATACTGCAAATCGAAAATACACAATTATGGGTGCGCTTGAACTTATAAAAAAGATAAGTATTTGATAATTCAAGCTTTATAATTTAGTCAGGTTACTATTCAATTATTAATATAATATTTATAATTTTAAAGTTAATTACATTCGAATATTATTAGATCTAAAAACCTCATATCATCGCAATATAAGAGGTTAGGTGGTAAGTTTATTTAAACTTTTAAATTTGTGTGATTGCAAATTATTAAACCAATTGATTCATGAAATTGTCCATTTCATTCTGATCATAATAATGATCAAATTCTCCCCGATTCAGAAAGTTTTGATGAGCCAAGAAACCTTGTGGTGGTTGAGATGAGAAGCTTTGCTAAAGCGGAAGATTTTGTTGGGGTAAAAAGTGTTGATTTGATGAGAAATCTTGTTGAAGTGAAAGGTTTTGTTGGTGCGAGAGATCTTGCAGAAGAAAGTGTTCTTGGGATGAGAGGTATGGTAGTGATAGAAGGTCTTGGAAGCTTTGTTGGGGTGGGAGGCTTTGTTGAGGTGAAAAGTTTTGTTGAGGCAAAAGGTTTTGTAGTTTGAGGTCTTATTAAAATAAAAGTATTTTTAGAATAGAAAGTTTTATTAAGTTGTGAAACCAAGTTTTTACCATTAAAAACGTATTCATCGTCTTCATTATTGTTATCGATCTCATTGTTATTTTCAACATGATTATAATCGAAAATTAAATCGTCTTCTGATCCATCAGTTGCAACTGAGATGCCACAACATTTAAAGGGATTTTTAATTAGCTGAGTATCAACAGAATCCCACGCATGCTTAACCCATTCTGCAATTTTATTATATGGGGACGTTTAATTCGACCGGATTCGGTTAATTCTCTTATTTCTTGTGAAATCCATTCATTATATTTAGATCGAATCTATTAATAAAAAGATGCATTAACATAATATGTTAATGCATCTTTTTATTAATATATATTATGTATATTAATTATAAAAAAAAAAAAAAAAAAGAACAACCTTTGATTTAAATGATTTATTGATTGATATGTCAAGTGGTTGAAGTTTTGATGTCAATCCCCCAGGGATGATTGCAATATTGGTACTTTTTTCTGCAAGCTTATTATTAATAGAAGAAACTATATGACCCTGAAAAGAATCTATTACTAAAAGTGATCATGGGTTCTCAGAACATGGTGTACGATTTTGCCAAATCTTATCTATCCAAAAGCTCATTTCCATTTCGTTCATCCATCCACTTTATTAGCTCTAACAACTACACCTGGTGAGAACTCAAGTCGTGGATCATTTTTTAACTTAAAAATAATCATTGGAAGTAATTTTTTACCATCTGCCATACATGCAAGTACAACAGTGAAGCAAGATTTTTCATAACTACAAGTTCTAATACTGATTATTTTATTTCCTTTATTATCTATAGTTACATTACTTGGCATATCAAAAGAAAGGAGGGTTTTGTCCATGTTACCCATTAATAGTAATAGATAATCATATTGAATACAGCAATATTGAACAAAATTAAGAAATGCTTGCTGTTGTGTCTCTAATTCTGCTAGTAGCTTTTGTGCAATAGTTGTTTTACAATGATTACTAAAACTATTATATTGTAAGAAACGATCAGGCCACTTGTTACTCCACTTAAACATGTTAATATTAGGATAGTGAAGAATATATTTTGGAGACTTTGCTAATGCTGCAGCTTTATTTTGTATCATGACATGGCTAACTGGCTTTAATTTGTTATGTAAAGCTCAAATCCATTCAGCAAGTTCCTCTTCAAGTTTAGGATAATTTGGTTGAGCACCAACATTGAGACATTTAATATGAGGCTGAGCTAATAATAGCTCATCTTGTTTGCTTTTCCAATCCTGAATTTGCTTGGGTTGAATTAAAAATTTATCTACTGTTCCTCATACAGTAGCTCCGGGAACTATTTCAAGGTAAGAAATTATAAAAAGTTTCTCTTGGGCTGTCCACTGACAGTTTTTTTTTTGCTGAAGTCTCGTTAGGAATACTTTTTAGAAGAACCATAATGTTAAAAATAAGTTTTCGTAATGTTTATGCTTTTGAAAAGTTTTTATCTTATAAAAAAACACGGTTTAAAAAAAACAAAATCTTATATCTACATATTATAAAAAAAACAAAAACAAAAAAACATTCATGAAAAAAAAATTCTTAAAACATTCGTGAAAAAAAAAATCTAAAAAAAAAATTCTTTACAAAAAAAAAAAAAATCATCCTCTTCTTCATAATAATGATTATCAGTATCATAGAATCTTAAAGGTAAATGTATCATATGTAAAAAAAATTTGGCTTATTGCCATATTACATGTATTACCGGTGCAATATTACCGGTATAAAATGTAAAACCAGAAGAACGAAATGCATCACTATATACCCCCCCTTACAAGTGACCCCCATATAATATACCCTCCTCCATACAAGGTACCCGGGGGTACAAATCAAATTTTTATCACGTGAATTGTAAGATACCCGGGTACCTTATACGGCATTTTACGGTATGTAAATGATATAAGGAGGGAGCAAAGGCTCCAAAAAGTTCCCAAAAGAAAATGAATGAACAGACAAACATTTGAGCAAATCTCCAAGAATTTCCGAAGATAAAGTAAAAAGTAGAGATAGTTACTCTCAACCGATTGACAATCGGCTGAATAAAATAATTCAGTTCGGTTAACCGATTAAGGAAATTTTTCTCGGTTCATATCATTAGACATGACCAATATACAAATTATATATTTACGTATAAAAAAAAATTAGAAATTTAAATTTAATACAGTAGTATTAATAACATTTACTCATAATACCTTTAATGAGTTCTTGACCAATAGAAATATGAATAGATAAACGTTTCTTAACGATTGTGTGAATTATGCATCAAACTATAAAGATAAAATATTTTGGTACCAAAAGCTTCAGAATTCAAATCTACTTTATAAAATAATCTTTTGGCTGATTTGTATTTTATTTAATTTATTTTTAAACGCTTTTCAGCCTTTACCAAGCCAGACAATATAGAAATTCAGCTATTTATATATCGGGCACTTCAATAAGCTCAATAGAGTGACTTATTGCTAGAAAAATAAGATTAAGAATTAGTTAGTCTAACATCTTATAACTCACAATAAAAAAAGGTATTCATGCAAAAGACTAAATAAAGTGTTAAACAATTTAATTCTTGAACTATACATTACATAGAGTCAGTCATTACACATTAAAATATAAATTTTTAAGGCCAATGTTTTGAGAGATAATATGCTTACCTGCATTTACTGGTTTAGGAAGTTTTGGAAAATTCAAAGATCGACTTGTATAAATAGCTTGTTTATGTGTTTGATAATTAAATTGAGTCGATTTTGCTTGATTTGCTTGATCGTATA